AAAACTAATTTAAAATGGATTTAGAAGATATTTTTTCGTGGCGTCTGTACGTACGTATGTATATATCTCGCATAACTCAAAAACGAGTAGCCTCAGATCGTTGAAATTTTCTATATAGGACTGCTATAGCATGTAGTTGTGCACCTCTCTTTTTGATGTCAATCGGCCCCTCCAAATATATATATCAAAGATTGAATTAAAGTAAATATATTAATACATCATAATAAATTGCCTAAGACTTGTCGAAAAGCTGCAAAGGAATAAAATAATTATTTATTTAATAATGGATTATTGAGTATATTATCTTCTTTGAGAAAGTTAGTAGAAATTCAGTTGAATGAAATAACTTATAAGCATTTAAAAATGAACCTTGAAATTTTTTAAAAAAGAAACGTCAGGTATGAATCATGAAAAAATTGAAAATGGAAACTTTCAAAAAATGAAAAATTAATCAACAAACCAAGTAATTATCGTCATTGATCGGAAATTGGTTGACTTTTCAAGGCGAACAAACCAACTCCCGATCAGTTAACAATAATTAATAAATGCGAAGGTCACCTTCTCTTCTCTCACTACTCAAGTAAGAATTATAATGGCAAACTGGTAAGTTGAGTTTATGCCAAGTAGAAAACATTTAAGTGAGATGAATTAAAGTTAATGTACTGTATAGTATTCATTATGAATGTGGCAGTTCCGTTTAGTCTTCACGCTTTTTAAATCGTGAGATGTTATTGTTAGGGTGAGTAGTAGTAATATTTTCTCATTTGAGTAAAGTGTCTCCAGATACTCTCGCTTTAACTCATATTAATTCAAAGTAGTCTTTAAAAAGTAATCTTTATATACATAATAAACACAGTGTAATTTTTGTAAAAAATATTAAATATAAAAGGGGAAGAAATATTTACAGAGAATAAGGTAAATTAAAATGTACAAAATGAAATGTAAATAATATATATAAATGGCCAGAAGATGAATTAATTAACTTATGTGCTTGCGAGTGTTAAGATAGAGACAGTTCCGTTACTGTCTTCGTACCCAGAATGGAATTTGGAATTCGAACCAAGATGGAGAGAGTAGGAGAAACAAGAATGATTAGTGTCAGTCGGGGACTCAGAATCTGTTTTTGGAAGGCGGAACGGAAGTGGTTTTGGAACTCTCTTTCAAGTGCAAGAGACGTCTGTTGAAATTTTGACTTTATACTAACCAGACAAAGGAAATTAATTAATTTCTCGCTAATTGCCGTAGCGGAAAGAGGAAAAAGTACTAATAATCTTAATTGCTCACAGGCTACTAAGCATTCTCAGAAAATATGGAAATAGGTTAATTTTTTTAGTAACAGCAATTAAAAAACGCCCGTTTATATACAATTAGTTCAGTAATTACCCTATTTACAAATCCTTTAACTGATAGTCATCCAACATATACCGCCTTTTCAGGTTTAGGAATAAATTTTCATATCCCTATCAGCTAAATAATTTATATAGAGTACTTAACGCCTGCTCTTTTAAGAAAATAATTAAGAAAGTTATTAGGTACGGGTACGTGATTACTTTTGAGAATTTCAGTAATTAGCAGAATTTCGCGTTGTAGGTTTATTTTATTTGTACAAACATTTTTAATGTGTTGTATTTGATTTAGTATATTATTACTAATAACTTTCTTGGAAATGTTGGAAGTCCAATTTATTAATTTGTTAGTATTGAAATTGAAGTCGCGTGTTTTATCAAGGAGTAGAATCTTTTTGTAGTTAATTATTTGAAGATCGAGATAGTCGATTGTATTTTGTTAATTATTAGTTTTATTAAGAGTAAGGCATTCTGGAAAAACCTCGAAATTTTCAATCTAGTTAAAATTATTAAATGCAATAAGATCATCTATATATCTGTAAGTGTGTGCGTAGTAAATTAAATTTTGTTATAGTAAATTTTTTTTGAAGGTAAATTCTTTGATGAATAAAATGTATTACAGACAGAAGTACTAGAGTGCGCACCCATTGGGATACCTCTGACTTGCTTAAAAAGTTGATTTTGAAATTTAATGCAGTTATGAAAAATAGATAATTTTAGGAAGACTTTCCATCTCTTAAAAATCTATAATTGTGAGCATAGCAGGAAACAATTTAGGCGTATCTAGGAGGCTAATATAGATTTCTTCTAATGGAAGCGAAGTATATAAGTTTTCAAAGTCATATCAGTTAATATTTTGTATGTCGATAGACTGAATGGTATTAATGACAGGAGTGGGATTTTTTATGACCCAGCAATATTTATGATGTGTTGAAGGTCAAGATGCGTTGAAGATTAATTTCCAAATTTTTAATGGTGTTAATGGAATTTGGGAAGAGTATATAGGTTAGTGAATCCGTTGAACCTTGGATTTATAGAGATAATGGCTCTTGCTCGTATCTCTCAAATTGAATTTATTAAATGTCATTCCACTAGATCAGCGTGGTCCAGCCTGCGGGCCGCATACGGCCCTCTTATTCATTTTGTTGGCACCTACCCTTCTTTACTGGAAAAATGTTAGTAAAATATTTGGAAAAACGAAAGACCCTTCTTACTGCTTTAAATAATAACTAATAAATATAAATAATTATATTAAATACAATAGTTAAAAAATTAAAAATTATAAGGCTCAGACAATGAAAACTGTTGTAAATAGTGCAAATTTAATAAGGGGAGGCAAAGCCCAGAGACACAGAGTATTTCATTTGCGGACAATTCAGATGCTGAGTATGGTGACATTTCATTGTACTGTCAAGTGCGCTGACTAAGTGCTGGATATTGTCTGCAACAGTTTTGGGGGTTGAGGAATAAAATTCTTGCTTTCCTCAAAAAAGAAAACATTGGGCATGAGTATCAAGAAAAATTAGAAGAAATCCAGTTTTTAAAGAATCTTGCTTTTCTGACAGATTTAACTACCCATCTAAATGCTTTAAACTTGAAACTGCAAGGCAGAAAACAAAATATATCCCATCTTTATGGACGTATTGAAGGTTTTGGCAAAAAACTTAATGTAAAGCAAATTGCACTGATGGCAAATATTAGGGCACACGTCCCATTTTGTCAGCAGCTGAAAGAAAACGGCACAAATTTTAGTATGTTTCATGAAATAATTCTGATATCAAGAAAGAGTTCCAGAACAGATTCCAGGATTTTGATTCCCTTAAACAACCCCATGGAGATTGAAGTAAGTGAGGTGCCTTGCGACCTTCAAACGGAAATTTGTGATTCTCAGGCAGATCCATTCTACTAGACTAAAAAGTGTGATGTCACTGAACATTTCTGAAAACTGATTTCTAAAGAACGTTTTCCCAAACGGCATAAATTCTATTTTGAAATGATATCGCTGTTTGGCAGTACATATATGTGTGAAAGTGCTTTTTCTGCAGAAAGCACTGGTTGATTATGGTCTTGAATATGACCAAGTTGAAGGTGATATGCCATACATGCCTGAGGGAAATTTTGACACAAGAGAAGGCTACCGTTTCTATCGGGTGCGCAGAAACGATTCAGATGTAAAAGGAGAATACGAAAAAAGGTTTTCTGATAAAGCAAGTTTAAACTCTAGGGATGAAAGAAAATTGCCAGAAAGAAAATTTGAGGAATTTGCAAGAGAAAGAAGATTCTGCCTACACGATGAGTGAAGATAAGTCCTTGCAAATGCCATTTTATTCGGAAACCAAGCACCGAGAAATAAAACTTCAAATGCCAAGGAAAGTCAAATTACCAAAGCTAAAAGTAAAGAAAGAGTACTTAAAAATTTTACCTCATTAATACTGAAAGAAGTAAAAGAGAGGGTGGTAAATAAGATGAAGGAGTACTATGACAACAAAAAAAAGCCGAAGTATGACTTTTGAACCAGGTGAAATAGTAGTTGTTCGACGCCCTTCGAAACCAACATATGAACCTACAAAAACTCAGCCAAAATACAGAGGACACTTTATTGTGACAGAAGTCCTCCCCAATGATACTTACAGAGTGACCGCAACTGGAGGAAAATCAGCGTGGTACATCAAGGCCAACTAGATATTTTGGGCTTGGGTAGACTGTATACAACAGCAGCCCACTTAAGATAGCTGAAGTTTTGGCGTGCTAATAACCTAGATGAGTTCAATGAAGAGGAACCAGGTAACTCGGATATTAACTCGTGAAACAAAAGGTAATGTGAATTTTTTTTTTTTGTCCGGAACCTACCAAAAACGTTACAGCAAAAACTTTATTAAGATTTTCTTGAACTTTTGACTTATTCTAGAACAAATTAAATTATGTTTACATAATACACGAAAAAGTGGGTTCTTATGATATAGGGTATTTCTCCCACTTCCCTAGCGTGCCTTCGTGGTGTAACGGTAGCACGCTGGGCCGGTATTCCAGAGGTCTGTGGTTCGATTCCCGGCGAAGGCGGTTGCATATTTTCATCTTTTCTGCTTCCAATCAACCTAATGACTCTACAATGATATTGCCAACAGTGTTTGTTAAAAAAAAAAGAGACAATTGAAGGCAATGGCCGATGCTATTCGCGCAACCGGTGCGAGTAGCCGCTTAAGCTATTCGCACCAACATTAACCACGCATGCGCATTGTACCTTTTCATCATTTCTCTTAGAAAGAGTCTGTTGTGTAAATTTCCATAACGCATTAATTTATACTAAGGCTACTATAAAGGTATCTCAAATAGCTCTAATTTATACAAATAAAGGAGTCATTGGTCAAGGAAAAGTTAGTGAATACAGGGGTGAGAGGGAATTATTTTTATTAAAAACTATGGCAAAATAAATTTTTTATTCGAGAGTCCCAAATGTAATATTTAAAAATATGTAGCAATTATTTTAATTGATCTATAAAAATATATTTTACTATCTTATCCGACTGCGGGATTTCTTGTTTTATGATATATTAGATAATATCTTTATTGTCTTTCATAAATACTTTGACCTTGAATACGATAGTTAAAAAAATTGGCAATAGTCTATTATTGGTTGGAAGAATACCGCGAAAATATTGCGCAGCAAGTTTAGGCGGGTTTTGAAGACACCGTATTTCATTTCATATTTCGCGGTTACTGTCGTTAGGTGGTTCGTATAACGGTTGCATAGTGGAAATATTTTAGCTTTTGTAAAGTATATGATTTATTTTTGGCCTTATTTGTAAGTGATATACTTTCGACTATGTCTTCTTCAGTCTCTGTGCTTCACCAAAATTCCTCACAAAATATTATTAAAGAATTAGATATGAACAAAGAAAATAAGGTAAGTGGCCGTTAAAGACTGTTGTATGTTCATACGTGAATAGTGTGATCTTATTAACTGTTCACCTATCTGAATCACAGTTATTTTATGCTTGTGATAATTTTAATTTCTCTGAGAGTTTGTTTCCTTTCGGAAAACATAAAAATTTATGTTTCATGATAGTAACTTGCAAGATTTGGAAACTAAAGATTTTAGATCCTGCATTTCAGATTTCTTTATATCAGGAATCAAAACCTGCATTTCTGTCTACAAATAGTAGGGTTAGGAAATATACTTATGGCATATTTTTATGGTACAGATTCATTTCAAGAATAGGAGTCTCACTACATTAACGTAAATTATTCTCTAAAAAAAAAAAGAGTCTAAGGTAATTTTTAATTAATAGCAATTTTATGTTTCTTTCAGATTATGCTTTGAACAATATAAATTAACTAGTGCCTTTGATTTTGCATCAAGATTGTATGGGATACTTTTTAATTATGTAAAATAATAAACACAGAAGTAGTATTCTAAGCGCTGCTTTTCTTCATCTAGATATATTATATTTTTGTAGATTGTAGTTTAGCTTAACATGTTTTGACAAGTTCTTAAAAATCGAAATTTGAATAGAACAGCTTGTATCATAACTTTTCCAGTAAATGAATTTAAAAAGCATTGTAAACTGCTCTTTGAATTGCCATACGTAACAATGAAATGTATGCTGTCTATAATTACAGTACAGAATGATTATCTCAAGTTAAAAACTGATTTTAAAGTTCAGTTATGTTAAATTATTATCACAAAGTGTTAGAAGATGTTTTACCTTAAGAATGCCTTCTTGAAAGATCCTTTAAGGAAAAATGATTGCTGTTTGTATAAATATGAGAAAAAAAGTACTCGTCTGTTATCAGGACCGGATTCTGAAATGTACGTGTGGATGTGTGTGTTCATGTATGCATGTAAATAAGTACGTACATCCATACATACATTCTTGAATCCAGTCTGTATAACAGAAGAGTACCTTTCTTTATTGTGTACATTTAAAAATTGTCAAAAAATATAAGATTTTAGAGGGGAAATAATAATTGTAATATTCCATTTTGTAATATTCCAAAACTTATGCATGAGTATTTTTTATTATATATGTTTATTTTTATACAATAACATAAAATGCTAGCATTATATTTGTGAAATTTTAGGCATTTGGTATGTTTTAATATATATATTTAAGGTTATCCTTAAAGTTTTTAAGAGATAAAGCGGTGAATCTTTGGATTATGGTAACTTGGCGATTTTTTGGCGACCAACCCTGCTACAGCAACCCTGCTAGTTTTTGTTTGGATGCCATTTTGTTTTCACAAAGTAAAGGCATTTTTTTTTTTACTCAACATTTTTTTCCAACAATCTGCTAGCCGAATTACTCTTATGCTAGAACTTTTATGGAACAAAATTGCTTAATCATGACGAAGATTAGGTGCAAAATTTGGAGAAAGTGCAGAATCGCCTACTGCTTGCCGCATTTTTACGAATTGCAAATACACGGTATCATCCATGTACACGTCAACCTATTTTCACTTAAAAAAAAAAAAAATCCCAGAATTGCACAAAAATGGCATTGCGCACACTCTTGACTATATCTATGTACACTGCTATAGTCCTAGCTAGTAACCTTTATCGCCTTACCAAAATGTCGCCTAACTACCTGTTACCATATTCCAAAGATTAGCCGATAAAGCATATGCAAAGATTATGCAGAGGGTGTAAAGTGTATGGTCACAATTTTAAGGGCGATAGAACAATTTAAAATAATATTTTTATTAGGTGTGTGGGGAAATGTGAGATTAGAATTTTTCAAATGAGTGGTCAGCACTTGCAATAAGTGCATCATGACGACGGATCTCGTTTACAAGATGCAGTTAACACTCCTGAAAAACCAGAATTAGCATCACTTCCAAAGAAATATGTGACATGGCGTGGTATCTTCCAAGGTATACAAATCATTTTGTCATCATTGGGATGCATGTAGTATGGTGGGTGATTATTCGGTTAATCTTTGGATTTTGGTAACTTGGCAGTTTTTGGTGAAAATTTGGCAATCAACCCTGCTACAGCAACCTTCTACTTTTTTTTCGCTGCCATTTTGTCTTCACAAAGTAAAGACAGGTTTCTTTTTTTTAAAATTTATTCAACATTTTTTCCAACAATCTGCTAGCCGAATTACACTTATGCTAGAAATTTTATGGAACAAAAGTGTTTAATCATGATGAATATTAACTGCAAAATTGGGAGTAAGTGCAGAATTACAAACTCCTTGCCGCGTTTTTCAGAATGGCACATACACAGTAACCATGTACATGTCAACCTATTTTTACTTCAAAAAACATCCCAGAATTGCACAAACATGGCATTGCGCACACTCTTGACTTTATCCATGTACACTGCTTTTTTCTCATAAATTAGAAAAAATTTGCACGAAAATGCAGGAAAATTTTGTGAATCTTTAAAGTTTGTAAAAAGGACATATATAAAATTACCTGATCGCGAAAAAATATATACCCTTTCCAAGGATTAACATTTGCACGTATAAAATAAATAAAATATCCAAAAACGGCTAATCTTTGGAATATAGAAACAGGTAGTTTGGCGACATTTTGGTAAGACGATAAAAGTTACTAGCTAGGACTTTAGTAGTGTACATGGATAAAGTCAAGAGTGTGCGCAATGCCATTGTGCAATTCTGGGATTTTTTTTAAGTGAATATAGGTTGACGTGTACATGGATGATACCGTGTATGTGCAATTCTTAAAAATGTGGCAAGCAGTTTGCGATTCTGCACTTTCTCCCAATTTCGCACCTAATCTTCGTCATGATTAAGCATTTTTGTTCCATAAAAGTTCTAGTATAAGCGTAATTTGGCTACAGATTGTTGTAAAAAATGTTGAGTTAAAAAAAAAAATGCCTTTACTTCGTGAAAACAAAATGGCGTTGTGGTGATGGCGATAAGGAGCGCGCCTTGCACCCTCCGAAAAGTGTGGCAACCCTAGAGGAGAAGTTTCTTACGAGTAGCGAGCAGAGCGAAACAGGCAGGCTGTCGGGGAGTGTGCGCGAAGTTCCGAAATAAAGCTTTAATTTTTATTGTGCACTATGTCTTGTTAATATTTATATTAATGCAGTAAGAACATAATCTGTGATATGGAATTCGAGGATTGGTGGTAAAACATATAGGAAAACACCATAATGGTAACCCGGACTGTGTTAAATCAAGCCGTATGAACAGTTCTCAAGCACTTTCGGTTTTGACTACAAGCCATCACTCAAGATCTCCAAACCAGAAGTAATGGATTACATCGGTTTTCATCTTCCGGATCACAGATGAGTAGTAATTATAGATCATTTTATAATTCTGTTTTCTACTTATCATTTAATTTCATTTTCTTTAGTTAAATTTTTCCTTTTATTTTGGCTTAAAAACCTTGCACAATGTCTGATGTTCATGCCGTCCAAATTCCGGTTTATAACCGATCAGACCCATCTTTATGGTTTATTATGTGTGAAAGTACCTTTTGCTCTTGCCACCCCCCAAACCTATCACAGAATCCATTACTAAATATAATTATGTAGTTTCTCATCTTCCTCCAGATATCGCATCACTAGTACGGGATTTACTTATGAAACCAGACCCTATTGATCCATATACAAAGCTTAAAACTGAGTTAATAAATCGTTCAGGAGAATCTTCTCAGCAAGAAATTCGCCAATTATTATCTGGAGAGAATTAGGTTCTTAGGTTCTCGAAAACCTTCCGATTTGCTTAGAAATATGAAACGTCGAGCAGAATCTTTAAATGTTCCTGATAACTTAATGTTAGAATTATTCCTTCAACGTTTGCCTTCGACTGTTCAGTCTATTTTGGCAGCGGTTTCCAATTTAACTGTAGATAAAGCTGCAGAAATTGCCGACAGAATTTTAGAAGTAAATCCAACCCCAGGGACTTGTGCCGTTTCTCGCACAGTCGATCAGTCTCTTGAGGATAAATTATTTAAACAAATAGAAAAATTAAACAAACGTATTGATCGCATTTCTCTTTCTCGTGGTCGCTCGCCAAATCGCGGATATCGCAATAAGGAAAGAAGCAATTCCAAAAGGAGAGATTATTCTGTTTGCTGGTATCATAGACGTTTTGGGAAAAAGTGTAGAGATGACAAATGTACAAAACCTTGTTCATGGCTTGGCTTCATGGCAGGGAAACGAAACCAGCAAAGAATAGAGGCGACTTATTCTTTGCCTCAAGTTTCACGTCGCCTGTTCGTTCGTGACCGTAGAACAAACCTTTCATTCTTGGTCGATACCGGCTCTGACGTGTCCTTACTTCCAGCAAATAATTCTCAAAAACGGAATTCGTCCCAACAAACACTTTTCGCTGCTAATTCTTCTACTATTCATGTTTATGGTCAAAAAACACTTTCTTTGGATTTCAAATTAAGACGACAGTTTACATGGACTTTTCTTATAGCAAATGTTAGTACACCCCATTCTTGGAGCAGATTTTCTCTCCATTTCTTTGAATTGGTGCCTGATCTCAGAAACAAATGTCTCAAAGATTTAAAAACGCATTTTAAAAACCGTCGGTTGCGTGAAAAATGCAAGCATTTATTCAGTAAAAACTGTATTTAGTGATACACCATATCACAAAATTTTAAAAGAATTTCCTTCAGTTACTAGATTACCAGATCCTAACCAACCTGTTAAAACACCCACCACGTTCATTATATCATAACTAAAGGTCCACCTGTGGTTGCAAAACCTCGTCGGTTAGCTCCAGATCGCTTAAAAATAGCAAAACAAGAATTTCAAACTATGATGCAATTGGGGCATTTGAGACCTTCGAGCAGCAATTATGCATCCCCACTTCACATGGTTCCAAAAAAGGGAAGTCTGGAATGGAGACCTGTAGGAGATTATCGAGCATTGAACGCTCAAACCAATAAAAGACAAATATCCCTATTCCATGCTTAGCCGAT